CCTCTAAAGGTCCCTTGCAGCCCTGCATTTCTATGATAAATTTTGTTAGCTATGAAACTGCTCCGGGCCTTAGGGCTCTGGAATAGAAGCATGTTCCAGTGGCTATTCATCTCAGGCCAGTCCCCTAGCTTGCAGTAAGGGGGTTATTAACGAGGTTACAGTTTCTTTCTCAAGATAACGTATTATTGGTATTGGTTATTGGTACTGGGTAGTGCCCAGAGGCCCTAATCAGGCTGCAGTCCAGTGTATCTCTCCAGTGCATTTGTAGAGATATAGGCCTGGTCTACACTAAAATGTGAGCTCGACCCAGCTACGTCGCTCAGCAGCGTGCAAAGTCCACACCCCTGCGCGCTGTAGTTACGCTGACCCGAGCCATGGCGTAGCAGAAGAATTCTCCCATTGGCCCAGGTACCGCCTCTCTGGGGGGTGGCCGGGAGACCCCCTCCCGTGGATGTGGGTGGTGGTCACGCAGCGGCACCGCTGTAGCATTTCAAGGGTAGCTAAGCCCTGGGTGGCGCGGCATTGAGCAATACCAGGTGACTCTGAGTTCTGGGGGGACCAACCCCTGTATTGGCCTAGGCGGACCGGGCAGTGCAGATGTTTTACGGCGGGGGGCGGGGCAGGAGAGCAGGGAACAGATGTTGAGGAGCTTCCAACACTGGCGGCAAAACCTGCAACTGAGAGTGGCCCCAGGGCTAGGGGGCGGGGCCTGGGCCAGCCCAGGCAATGCCACGTGGGGCTGCAAGGGGGGGGGCAGAGGCTGGGGGTGGGACCTGGGGTTTGGGAGGATAAGGGTCAGGGGCGGGCTAGGGGTAGGCGAGGGTTGGGAAGGGGGCGGGGCAATGGTGCGGCAGCCCTAGGCCCCGCCTCCTTTCCTTACGGGTCGCTGTGGCAGACATTTCTTCGTGATGCGCTGCCGTTATTCAGCGCTCCCAGCGGGAAGGCGGAGCTCATGTATCTGGGGCGGGGAGCGGATCCCGCGGGCCAATGGCGAGGGGGTGGGAGGGCACGAGGCGGAGCCGACGCTCCGGATAGGCTCGGCGCGGTGTGGGGGCGTGGTTAGCTAGCCTGGTGCCCCCGCCCCCCGGCACGGCTGTAACGGTCGTCGACTCCGTGCGCGTCCGCGCCGCGAGACAGTGAGAGCTCGAGAGCCGAGCGGAGCCAGGTGAGGGGGCGGGTAAACTCCCTCTGCCCCTCCCCCCGGTAACTGCCATCCCCCGGGTAACCCCCCCCGGCCTCCTGCGGGGCCCGCTCCTCGCACCCGCCGAGCCTCCCCCTAGGGGCGCAGCCCGACGCGGGACCCCCCGCCTAGCTCCGACCCTCCCCAGTCCCGCTACGCCCCTGCCCCTAGATATACCCCCGGGGGCTGGAGCCCCGATCCCTGCCGCTCTCCCCGGGGATTAACCCCCCCATTGCCCCCCCTCCACCGGCCAGACCACCCCCCCCCACTTGCCCCCACTCCACCGGCCAGACCACCCCCCCCATTGCCCCCCCTCCACCGGCCCCAGGCTCCCCAGCCACCCCTGCGCCTTAGGTCAGCTAATACCCCTCCCTTCATCCTGGGGCACCCCCCAACCCTGCCCCTCAGCTCCCCCCTGCCCACTTCCGGCACGAAGTGCTGCCATCCAGTCCCAGCTTTGCCCCTCTCTCGTGTGGGTCGGGCTCTGGGGACCGGGGCTGAATCTGCTCACCCCGATTCCTGCCCGCCCAGATGAATAACACTGGCTGGAGCTCTGGGCTGGTAGCTTAAGGCTGGGGGTTTAAAGCAGCAGCCAGGCTGCCCCAGCGGGGGGTGGGGACAAGGCATTTTGAGGGATTTTAAGGTTATTTCCATCACTTCATATCTCCTGCACTCTTTAGCATGACCTGGGCTGGTCTACTCTGGATAGTTGCTGCTGTGCCTGACGGCTGCTAGAGACTGGTCTAATGTCAGTCGGCTGCATGTCTTTCTGTTTGAACCGGGCTGTAGTTAATAACCAAAAACCATAGTCAAAACACATAATTGGGACCCTACCAAATTCACGACCATGAAAAAAAGTGTCAGAGGTGAAATCAGACTTTTTCTGTGAAATTGGAGGGGAGGGGCAGGGCTGGAGTGCCCCAGCTGGGGCTCCTACCATGTCTCCAGCTACTAATCCCCTCCGGGCTGGGGAGGGTTTGGATTTACTCTTCCTCTGCACAGCCACTTCTGGGTACCTGACCTGGGTAGCAGCCCCAGGGCTTCCTGCAGCTGCAAGAGATTGCCAGAGGTGGAGATAGGTCTGATCTCCCTGTGCTGCTAGGAGTGCCCTGCAGCTGGGGGAGATTCCCTGAGGGGGGTCTGATCACCCACCTCCCTCCCAGAGCAGCTGTGCAGGGGAAGAGCAAGTCCTGTCCCTCCCCAGCATGGCCCAACTCACAGATAGGAGCCACCAGCTGGGGTGTTCCCAGCAGCACAGAGGAGATCAGACTCACCTCCATCTCTGGGAGCTGGCTGCAGGAAGCTCTGGGGCTGCTGACAGCGCAGAAGTGAGGGTAGCAATCCCATGACACCTCCCTCCACTCTCTCCCCCCCCCACTCAACAGATTTGCGACCCCTCCATGACCCCCTTTCGGGTCGGGATCCTCATGGTTACAACACTGAAATATCCCTTGAAAACATCTGAAAAGATGAAATTGACTAATTTTCAAATCATATGACTGTGAAATTGCCCAGAATGGCCCTTGAATTTGGTAGAGCCATACACATAATCCATTAACCTGAGTTAACCACCAAGTTTTGTTTCTCTTTGCTCAGAATGGAACTCCACTTCTCCCCATATCTCATTGCATTCCCTACTGTCTCACCATGTGACTGGTGCCAAATCATTAGCTCTGTTTTCAAAATAGAAATATTTTCCATGAGGACTTTGGATGACAAAATTTACTTAAAGTGGGGCCTGCAAGGACTGGATAATAGGGAGTTATTATTTCACAGGGTTGAAGGAAATGAGAGCTTGAATTTGATAATGAAGAAGTTTGCAAGTGCTAGATATTATAGTCATACTCTGGGCAGGAGATTCATGTGTTTGAGATGATTTCATATACAATAAAGTCAACCAATGCTCTGGATAGAGCATGATCATAGCTGATGGTGTAACATCACTTATGACTGACTGACCAGGTTTCTGGGTGTAGCTGCATAAAGTAATCTTCAGAGGGCAGAAATAAACTGGCCAAGTGCTGAGGTTTGTAAAAGGAAATTTTGAATATCTATAGATATAGAACGAATACCTAGATACTATGGTGGCTGATGCCCTATAAATAACCAAGATAGTATAACATGTGGCCAGGTTTTATGCTGAGCACTTTAAGAGTGTTACAAACCAGAACATTTTCCATTTCTGAAAAGTGTGTTAATCCAGACTAATTGCACTTCTTGAAGTGTTAACTGCTGTTCTATAGTGGAAAAGTAGTGGAAAGGAGGTGCTAATTAAATGTGAAACATGGTATTAAAGATAAATGTTTCCTATAGCGAAGAGTAGCTGTAGTATTTATGTCAGTGTAGGATTTGTATACTTGATTGGTCAGTGGCAAAAATGGATTGGATTATGTTGATTCTATTTCTTTAATTTTATAGTTGACTGGAATAGCTGTGATGGCCACCCTTGAGAAATGCCCAGACCTGAGGTTCCAGCAGACAAGTCCAACAGGTTTGAATTATGAATTGTTTTCCTTAAAAGTCATACTCCTGCCATATCCTGGGAGGAGATTCCTTAGGAAACCCAGGTCGTGGCTTATTTACCAAAAGCTTTTTATTAAAAATAAAATCTTAAAATAATTATTTGATCTGTTAATATCCTGTGCCTGCAAAACAATTGCATGACTGTCCAGGGACGGATCGTCACTTACACATACACCAACCTCTCTTAAAACCCAGCAAAGGGGGAGTTCATAACATGATAATATTGCAATGCATCTTTACCATCACCAGTATTATCTCTGTACTTCCGTATGCAAACACTGTCACTCTGCCACTTCTTCAGTTTCGGAGCACATGCATAGTGATACCAGCGAGATATGCATTGCATTCTTATCTTCCATAGTGGTGTCCTTTCCTCTCTTGCTGACTTGGTTTAGGTCCTCTGTGCCTGTTGCTAGAAGATTTGCCATAAGGAAAGAGATTTCACAAGCAGTGATATTTCAGAGGAATCAAACAAAGAACAATTCATATCCACCCAGTAAGGAAATGTGTGAATACAGCTTAATGCTGATTCTCAAGCAATTGACTTGCTAATCATTCTGGAGAGATCCACTTCTTTTTTTTAATGAATTTAAATTAAACTGGAAAAACGATTTTGTAACCAAAAGTTCCAACTCCATTTGATAAATTAAATTGGCTTGTTGGTCTCCTTGGTAAAATTAATTTCTAATATTTCCTCCATTCACCCCAGCAGGGGCAAGGACAAGGATGGGTTTAATAGGTCTCTTCCATTTGCCGTCTCCTATAAATAAATCTGAAACTTTATTTCTTTGAAATCAGCTGCAAAGTCATCTTGTTCATTTATTACCTTTCAGTCTCCTTCACTGGCAAATATCTCTGAGCAGGTGGAACAGGCTGGGGATACTTTCCCCTCAGTGTAGGTTCTAAAGGTTGATCTTTGGGGAACACTCTCTCGGTGTAATACTGATAGGTAGTACTCCGAATTATATATATATATGCCCACAGTGTGACTCTTTCCCAGACTCTAATACAGGTCAAAAGAGCTGTTCTTTGGAGACCGACTGGAAAACCCCAACTCTGTCTGTGAAGTTCCAGAGTCGCTTTGGTCACTGTTCAAGTATGGCTGACAGTGGGGATACAGCAATCGGGACCTCCTGCTCAGACAGCACAGAGGGTGAGTCTGAATGTCTGATCCTTATAGTAAAAGTGCAGAATTCTTTCTAGTTCTTCTTACAACATAAACCAAGCGTCAAGAACCTCCCGATACAGAAACAGCCCTAGCGTATGAAATGGAGGGGAAGACGACCTATCCTGTAGTGAGACTATTGTACACTTTCACACTTAGCCGTCAGTTTTGTAACCTAAAATGTAAACAAATATATATTGGTTTAGAGATTCATTATCTTATCTAAAGCTTGAAAGGGGATTAGCCAAACTGCATTACAATTTCTAGCTTCAACGGTAGTTACAAGTTTGTCAATTAAAATGACTTTTGACAGAGGTAGATTAATAATCTTTAAGATGCACAAGGATTCTGAACACCTTGAGCTTCAGCCTCTGCTTCACATTAATATACTTTCCAGTAGAAAGTGTGTGAGGATCTCGCTGTACACAATATGCCGGACAAAACTATTGCCTCAATATTCCTCTTTACCTGTATTTTGTAAGAATTATGGTCCGTTTATTAAAATGGATAGAGACTGGTATATTGTGGCTCTTGAGCTGCAAACAGAACAAGGGAATTTTTGTGTAATAGTTCTCAATGATATCTAGACTTGACCATTTTGATTGTGTAGTGAGATGCATTCTGCGAGGTCACTTTTCATATTGCATCCAGTCCTAACCAGGGGATTGTTAGCTTGGAGTTCTCCTTTCAGCACAAGGCTTCCCAAGAAGGCCATGACTTTAAGAGCACGGGAAACTGACATTGCTATCAATGGGGCAATAATCATGTTTTTGCTTTTTAATGGGGGAGAGAAACTGATCCACTTCTTGTCCTTCTGTTGTTTGAATTCAGGCTTCTACACTTCCACAGCATCATGTTGGCTTTTTGAATTGTATGCAAGTAATGTACTCTACAGCAATATAGGAAACTGCGCCTTCCCTCGTGCTAGATGAGACAAACTCTTGTGTATGTGTGGTCTGAGGCAGTAGTCAGGCTTGTGTAGGACAGTGGTTCTCAACCACAGGTACGCAGAGCTCTTCCAGGGGGTACATCAACACATCTAGATCTTTGCCTAGTTTTATAACAAGCTACATAAAAAGCACTAGCGAAGTCAGTACAAACTAAAATTTCATACAGACAGAATGAGAAAGTAAGCAATTTTTCAGTAATAGTGTGCTGATATACATTTGTATTTTTATGTCTGAGTTTGTAAGCAAATAGCTTTTTAAGTGGAGGTGAAACTTGGGGTATGCAAGACAAATCAGACTCCTGGGACGGGTACAGGAACCTGGAAAGGTTGAGAACCACTGGCATAGGACACTGCTCGTTAACCTGAAGCTCCTTTCAGTCACAAATAAGGAGGGTTTACTTGTATTGCTCTTTAGAAGAAACGCTTCTTGTTCACTTTCCCATTCGTCTTCAGGTGTATGGTACCATTTGAAACTTGCCATATTTTCTAACAACACAAGATTCAAGATCAAGGTGTTCTTAAATAATTTTTTCAAAGTATTGTATGCCTGCACCTTGAGGTTCCCCATCTAGTCTTTCTCAGCACAAGAAAATTTCCAGTTGCACTCAAAGTGGGGTGGTGGTGTCGATAACACCACAAACATACAGCAAGACAATGTCCCTTCTCCGAAGAGCCCAGATTGACTTGCAATACTGATAGTTATTAGAATCCTATTTTGACTTTTAAAATCAGCGTACTTGTTATAAGATGCTACTGGCTGTGGTGGTCATTCCCATGCTTCCAGGGACTGATTCATTCCCAGTGGAGTCCATTGCTAGTGGATAGAACTCAATAGCTCCTGACCATGATGCTGCAATCTAAGCTTAGGAGACTTGAAAGAAGAAATCGGCACTGACTCTCCTCAGTCTGTTTGAAACGTGTATTCTTGTCTATTTGGAGGGCTGTTTCCTCTTTGAAGGAGTCCTAGGTGGAGCTGATATCTGTAGGGATTCTCCCCCCCCCTCCCGCCCCCCGTTTGTTAACATTGAGAGATGACGTTCCTTCATATTATCTTTTATGTAGCTTGAGACATTTGACAGGGTCCTGCATAGTTCCTCATTCCAGTTACTTTAAAATTGTGACTTCATTCCTTCCCATAGCAACACTCTGATGTTAAAAACATATGGGAATGCGAGCTCGCTGTCCCAAAGCTGGGCTGGAGAAATCGCACATCAGGATGGGCCTTATGCCAATGCATTGAGAAAACAGGCTAGCCCGAGGAAACATGACATTGGTACCCAAATATAGGGGGAAGTGGAAAAATCAACACCTTGGGAAAGAAGGCTCTTCAGTATTTGCCCAGTTGAGCTCTTGTTGTTGCTCTATTGAAACCTGAGAGTTACTAAGAATAACTTCAGACTTCCATGGAGGCAGGTTTGGTAGCTGCGTGAGATGACGGATCGGCACTTGGTCTCATTTCCTGTGACTGTGGAACAGGGCCATTACTTTTAGTTCTAGGAACGGCTGGTTTTGTTGCCATGTTCCAGGGGAGTTCTAAGGTCAAGGGCTCTGTGGTGTGTGCTCAGCAAGGCTTGCAGCTTATCATGGGCTTAGCTCCTATTGCTTTTAGTTACAGTGCAGAGTCGCTGTGCTGTGGGATGAGCAGAACGTAACCACGGTCCCAGTTTTCAGTTCTTGAGTAAGTTTCAGCCTTTTTACTCAATTTCAGGATTTATTTACAAGTGACTAGACAGATAAGTTTATCGATAAGTTTTGATTAAAAAATTTTAACACCAAAATGTAATGGTCTAGGATGAATGATAGCAGTTGTTGCCCTTTTGCATTTACTCGGGCAGATAAATATCATGGGGCACCTGGAACTTTCAATAAAGGAAAAAACAGATGTGCAAGTGTGCCCTTGACCTGCTACTGTGTATGGTCTCCCCCAGCCCCTCGACCGTAGGAAATGTTCCTAGTAGGATAAGAAAAGGTGGCAATTGTCTTGTAATTGAAAAGTGTTGCTTTAATTCTAACTCTCAGAAATTCTTTCCCTAGAATTTTGGAATTCCAGTAGCAGTTCCTCGTTTCAGCCCATCAAAACCCAAGTGACCATCCCCACAGCCCATGTCATGCCTTCTACGTTGGGTACGTCACCCGCCACGCTCTACTCAACAGGTGAGCCGAGCTCTTTGCAGAGTGCCCCAGTTTCATCCAAACCAGCTGTACCAAGATCGTCCACTGAAAATGGAGGGCTGACAAGAAGTGGAGGTTTTACTGCTGTGAAATCCTCTCAAGTGGATCTCTTGCATCTCTACGGGACGTCTGGGGGAAATGGTTTTGAGCAGTCCTGGTTTCCTGTTTCTGATCATCTGAGAGCGGAAGACACTCGAAAATTTGACACTCCTGCCATTGAGCCTACCCTTAATCAATCTGGTTTGCTGGATACGCTGCATGCTGACCCGGCCCACAAGTTCCAGGATCCAAGCTTGATTTCCACTTACAAAGTGCTGCCAGAGACTAAACCAGCAACAGGGGCCAGTGAAGCCTGTGAGCCGCGAAATGGTACTTGGCCCACTGGGAGCAGACTGATGCCATTGGGATTTCAGCCCAATAACGTCTTTTCGAAACCAATGGTGGCTCAGTCTCAGGTGTGGAGGCAGGAGCCTTGCACTTTGCATCCACATCAGAGGGCCTGTGAACTCAGTGCTTGGAGGCAGCAGCTGGACAACATACGGTTGCAAGTAGAACAGATGCAGGTAGAAAAAGATCCACTTTTTAAACAACAAAACCCTTTGAAATCACTTTCTCCTTCCCTCTCCACTCTCTCGGAGTTGTATGTAATGTCATCACAATTCCTGACTAATGCAGTAAGGGGGCGGAATGTCTTGTGCTTCTATTACACATTTTTATACAAATTATCTCAAAACATGTGTCATTCCTCACATCACTGAAATGTGGCAACCATGTAACACGGGGGTGGGGAACCTTTTTTCTATCAGGGTCCACTGACCCACAGAAAAAATCAGTGGCGGGCCACACACAGCCCCGTGGGGGAATACAGAGGCTCGGGGCTTTCCCCCCCGCCAGTGGGCAAGCTAGCGCTCGAGGCTCCAGCCTGGAGAGGGGGAGGGCACAGAGGCTTGGGGCTTCCCCTAGGCTCCAGGGTGGGGCCATAAATGAGGGGTTCAGGGTGTGGGAGGGGGCTCTGGGCTGGGGCAGAGGGTTGTGGTGCAGGAGGAGGTGAGGGCTCCAAGAGG